GTCGAAACGTCGTGATAATTGTATCGTTCAATATTTTTATTATTTTATTGTTTCCCTTCGTGACTTTACCGAAAGAACCAAGAATAGGGGAAACCATCTTTACCTATGCAGTGTGATGCATTTAACTGGTACAGTACTACGCTTTAACTATCCATAGAGACACAAACTAATTCCCTATGGGTGCCAATTAAGTAGAAAGTGATTAGCGAGTTGTCATCTAATTCATCTTTGCCATCTAAATGCAACTGGGTAAAATCGCAGTGACTTAAGCTAATTTACATGGGTACACTGTTGACATGATGCTAACAAGTATTCCATGAATCCTATTGTAAGTGGAAATATGTTTTGTATTCCAAGATATTAAAAACACTTGAGAAAATAAGGTTCAAGTTGAACGTTTACCGCATAGTACTCAATTAGGACTATACAAAGCAATAATCGCCCCCTACTGGAAGACTTTCACAAATGAGACTATCCAGGTCTCTTGCTTCCTCACCTGGTTAAACTAAATAAACTTGAAACGTACGGGCACGTCCGTATGTCAGCTGGCCATGGCAATCCTTTGTCACCAGTTAAACGTCATAGACTAAAAATAAATCACGTAAATGCAGAAGACAGTGTCTGCATGCAAATGATATGTCTGAGAAAATTCTAACTTTGTTAATCATATGCATTTTGAGCCAATAATAGGGAAGTTAATTGGTGTGAAAATGTCAGCTTTAAGTAGAAATGAAAAAAATACCTCGCATAAATGTTATGAAAAAAAAAGTATGCGACTTTAGTTCCTCATACAAACGTTGTACTTGTCAATTTCATGCTACATATGTATGTTTCTATCACAGGCAACGATTCAGGCAATGACCCTTATATTCTTGGTTCTTTCGGTAAAGTCATGTAGATAGAAAACCAAAAAATGACAATTAAAAATAATAAGAACTAAAAATAATAAATTGAAAATAATAAAAGCAAAAAACCACAATAAAAATAAAAAATGACCCTTCTTCATAGCATAATTGCTATGAAAAATAAGAGGTGAAACGTGGCCTATTTATTTATTTGAACGCAGTGTTATTGACGAATGTATGAAGCCTTTATACATAGTTTTTGTCACGGTCTTTTTAATGGATGCAGTCGTGACTCAGATGGGATGTGCTCTGTATACTAGTTGGTGTAGGTCAACTCATTTAAATGGCTTTTTCCAGATGAAAGTCATTAGCCATTCAAAACTGCCAGACGTATTTTCAGTGCTGTGTTCAATTGTCCACGTTTTCAAATCATTCAACGACACGAGGTCAACTCTGTAGTAATAGCGAGCTCCTATTAAGGGCATCACAATACTGTTGCATAGTCACAAACTGTGAGTGAAGTGGGCACATTCCACACAGTGTCATGGAATTATCCTTATAAAAAACGCAAAGGATTACATACTCATTATCTCAATCATATGATGTACTTTCTAGCTAATCACAAATATAATTGGGAAAATTATCATTTATTAGTTAATGGTTGTTAAAAAAAAACTTGGCGCCACAGGTACAAGTCTAACTTGACTTGAGAGTGCCTCCGATTAGCACGGTTGGCTACGTATGGTGCAAAAGAAGAGGTTCAGCATACATACAACAAGGTTAGGAGGTTGGCTCATTGTGCGCCGAAGGGTGCCTTACTCCAGGAGCACTGCATTATGCTGACAAGCTGTTGCTACAAAAGACACGGAACTCGAGGCCAAATACACACTAAACTACTCTAACCTCGGAGAAAGGATGGGAAGTGAATTGCCCGAGAAAAGGATGGCAGATTGATGAACCAGCTGTGGCCACACCTGGCACGGGACTCGAGGCCAAACATAAACCACCCTTACCTCCGAAAGAGGAGGATGGAGTGAAGGCCAATCTATGGAGATCTGTCATATGTGTAAGGCCTCCATTGTCTCACAAGAGAGATAAATTACTTATAATATGAAACACTTTGTTAATTCTTACACACTGGCCCATTCATGGAATGAGTTATATCAGTGGGCTACGTTATAGGAGAAGGGGAAGAAGAGATAGAGATAGAGGAGAAGAGGGTCGGTGGGCTGGAGCCCAGAGAGCCAGGGGCAGCCTTGATGTTCGTGTGGACCGGGTAGCGCGCTCCCCCCCCACCCCGTGTTTGTGAGGCTGCTTGCTCGAGAGAGGTCGTGCATTGCACGAGAACGGCTGAGACGCCGAGTAAAAGTCCTCAGAGGCGTAGTGGTGAGGCAGTGGAGAAGGTATTGTGGTAAAGCAGTGAAGGTGCTGAAAGGTAATTTTAAGATTTGCAGTTGTTGAATCGTGTAGAGCCGAAACATACGGCGAGTCAGTTTATGGAGACTTAAAGTGAGTTTTGCAGAAGTTAATATTGGGGGGGGGGGGGGGGGGGGAAGGAAAAAGATGCAACATTTGTGGCTACTGGAGAGGTAAATGCATTGAACTGAACTGTGCTACAAAGTCACGTGCCGTGGATCACACGAGCTCAAGAAAAAAGGTGAATGTAAAACCATCAATACTCATTGGTTATTTCGGTAAAGTCACGTAGGTGAAAAATAAAAATGAATAAAAGTAAATTGAATCACGACGTTTCGGATGCAACACAAGGGTCCGTCTTCAGGTGGGAACAATCACAGTAAAAAAACAGTTGCTGAAATAGGCAAAAGAGCTGCGATTACCAGGGGGTTATATAGGTGAGGTGGGGGGAGCCGAGGATAGAGAGGGTGAAGGGGAAAGGAGGCAAATGAGACATTGAGGGTCAATAGCCTGAAGACATATATAACCACCTGGTAATCGCAGCTCTTTTGCCTATTTCAGCAACTCTTTTGATTGTGGTTGTCCCACCTGATGACGGAGGCGTGTGTTGCATCGGAAACGTCGTGATTTAATTTACTTTTATTCATTTTTTTATTTTTCACCTACGTGACTTTACCGAAAGAACCAAAGAGTATGGATCTTTGCAGTAACGAAAACTTCAAATCTAGAAGTAAAACCATCAAGCCCGTGAACAATGATCACGGTGAAGACACGACCGTACGTCGGACGTTGAAGAAAGAAGGACATCATTCTACATGTCAGCAAGACTCGACGACATGCACTGAAGAACGAAGAACATCATTGTCCTGCACGTCGTCAAGACTAATTGAATGATTGGCCCTCTGCTTTATAATAAATAAGATACTTGTTTGCATTAAAATCTATGTGTATGGTGTGTGATTGAACAGCGTATCAAAGCCATCCGTTAAATGCGAGATATCCACGAATCTGGATAATAAGTTTGGCTTCTGTCATTGTGTATAACGAATCAATCACAACGTAAACAAATCGAATATTAAAATAAATGACAGATACCTGCCAGAACTACAACAGTGTGTCATCTAACGTGCATTACAAAATATAAAATAATATTGTGCATACAATTTGACACAAACATTCGCACTATCACATACAGCTCTGTCATTGTCGTTGTAGAAATGTGTTATCTGTAAAGTTGCTGCCGTAATTTAAAATCGCGCCATCTTAACCAGTTCTCGATGACAACTTGTTAAAAGATATTGCGCACCCACAAATACACCACACACAAACACAGTGAAAACTCTACACGCAATCTCATACCTCTTCCCTTCTCATCTCACTCGAACTCCCCTCCACGCACCCCCCCCCCCCACACCAGAAAGTAAACTTTTAGTAGATGGTCCCTATTCTTGTTTTTTTCGGTAAAGTCACGTAGAAGGGAAATAATTGAAATTTAGATGGTCCCTGTTAATCTTCCCTGAGTGGGAGGTCGCTCATTCTCCTCTGCTGCTACCTTGGTCTGGAAATCCCTTCCTCACCACCCATCCATGCTGTTCGCATTTTTTTTTCTACCACGGTCTATGTCCATTATTTTCTATGTAATAAACATGCCCACTGCTTCTGAACAGGGTTCGGAGAAGTGGTGGCGCTTCGACACAATGATAATAATAATAGTGGTACTGTATTGTGCGTGCAATTTGGATGCTGTTCTTCTCGATGGTTTCCCAGTGTTCTAAGATGGTTAGGGCGGGCATCACGGTTTTGTTTGATGACCAATATTAGCAAATGCGCGTTCATAATTTAAAGTTCGTAGTGCGTCTATAATTATTTGGTGATGTTGCGTTGGCAGTGGTGCACAAGGACACATAATCCATGAAAAAAACAACAACTCGACACAAGCCTTCAAATATATATTTATTTTTTAAAAGCAGGTTTCGGCAGGACCTCCACAGAGGGTGCTCTAGCGAATCCCTCTTGGGTGTATTTTTTTGTTCAACTCTTCCACGTTGGCCAAACGTGTTGAAAGAGGTGGGAGTTAACCACACATTACCCCACAGCTAACAAAAAAGATTAATTTTTACGTGCTATCAACAAGGGCCATGGCCCGAAACGTCGCCTATTATACATTATACAGGACAGTAGATCACCCTCGGGCCTGCGTTATTGGCAACAAAAAGCAGTGCAGCAACATCCATTGCGCTGTACTGTGTCTCTATGCTCCCACGTCTACGATCTCGGCTCAAGTCTTGCTCCCTTGGGGCGGTACAAATTTCCGCTCGCCCCCCCCCCCCCCACACTGCAGTAGTTTAGCATTTTTATGTCCGACAAAAAAAATATCACTGGCTTCGATTTTCCGCGAAGATCCCTGAGCCACAGCCCCTTAAACCACATCCGCACAAACCGTGGCAGGCAGGCAGACGTGGTTACTCGATGCACAAATGTAACATTTTTTTTTAATAAAAACCTCTCCGGGCAACGTTCGACCGTGCTCACCCAAAACTGAGCCGCCGTTTCAATGCCCGAAATCGCGATTGCGGAGAGGAGGCCATCATCATCATCAACGATGCACTCGCGCTATTTCTGAACGCAGTTGCCCGGCTCAACCTGTGACATGATGGATGATGACCTGTTGCACATCAGCCCCGTGCAAATTCCAACCATTGTTTGTGAAGTCAAACCATTGCTTTGGGTGGCCGCGCCCTGCTCCGGCCGGCGATGGGAAGACCCCACCCGTGCATATTTAAAATAGAGGAGGGGAGGGGGGGGGATGGGTCGCTTTTGACTCCTCTTTGTTACGAACCGAGCTTGGTTACGAGACACCTTCGGGACGATGGCGCAACTGCGACTTCGACTGTTCCTGGGTCACCTCCGAGGCGTATCGACACGGACAAGTGCTCGTCGAATGTTTGAACGTCCAAGCCGACCGCAGTGTACTCGCTCCTGTTGGTTTTCTCGACCGGCGTCGTGTGTGTGTGTGCGTTGTGCGTGAGAAACGGGAACCAGTCGCCGGCGCGGTCGACGTTTGGCTCTGGTGCCACATCGATCTCTCTCTCTCTCCATTCATTCATATTCTGGTCCCCACGGGCGCCTGGGGCCCCCTGTCTCAAGTGTAGTTGCACCGCCTGCACACTCGGTATTCGCGCTCGTGTGACTCTCGCTCGATTGTTGATCCGATACATTTGGCAGCGTTTGTGGACTCATTCGCGAAAGCAGGACAAGCAAGCCTCTCGGTTCCTCGTGTAAAAAAAAAAAGGCACAGGGCCAACGTGCCGACCAGTCCGTGTGTGTGGGTTTTTTTTATTTCCCACCCTACTAGGCTGTAGCCCAAAACTCGTTCCACATGTTTAACCCGCGAGCTACGACGCCAAGAAGGGCAATTAGGGCTGCGTCCAGGAAGGACGTCGAGCGGGAAGATGGAGCGATGGTGGCATGAGATGAGCGTGCAAGAACTCTGGTAGATGGTTACGCCGCGAGTTCGCGGCGGCTTAGGGAACACCTTGAGCAGTGGATTGGCCGGGGGTAAAGGCGCACCCGTGCAATTGCTTGTTCGTGCCCCTGCCGACGAAAAGGCCTCCCGCCAGAGGGAGCTCTCGATAAGTCCCCGAGAGAGGATGTGGCTGACGCTTCCATGATGGCCAGAGCTCTTGGAAGAGGTGTGGGATTATCCTCGTAGCAGAAGTAGCTACCACACATGTAGTAGTAGTAGTAGCTACACGTGTAGTAGTAGTAGCTACACATGTAGTAGTAGTAGCTACACGTGTAGTAGTAGTAGCTACACGTGTAGTAGTAGTAGCTACACGTGTAGTAGTAGTAGCTACACGTGTAGTAGTAGTAGCTACACGTGTAGCTACTACTGTAGTAGTAGTAGCTACACGTGTAGTAGTAGTAGCTACACGTGTAGTAGTAGTAGCTACACGTGTAGTAGTAGTAGCTACACATGTAGTAGTAGTAGCTACACATGTAGTAGTAGCTACACATGTAGTAGTAGTAGCTACACATGTAGTAGTATTAGCTACACATGTAGTAGTAGCTACACATGTAGTAGTATTAGCTACACATGTAGTAGTAATAGCTACACATGTAGTAGTAGCTACTGCTACATGTGTAGTAGTAGTAGCTACACATGTAGTAGTAGTAGCTACACATGTAGTAGTAGCTACTGCTACATGTGTAGTAGCTACACATGTAGCAGTAGCTACGGGCCCCGCACTTTCAAGGGCCCCGCGCTAAACGCTTTCAAGCGATCAATTCCGGTTCGGTGATTCTGCACTTGCTCTATTACTATAGTACTATACCGCCTTAAACTTTTAAGAACGACTGGGTGTTTAAGGTTAGCGATTTGTCGTATTATCCGGTTGTATAGCAGATGAAAAAATGCAATTACTTTACTATGCAAGTTCAAATGTGTGTTCTAATATTTATTTTGAAATTTAGGGCCGCTTTATAACATATGCTACAGGCCCCGCACTAGCTTCATTCGGCACTGCGTGTGGAGTACCCGCACTTTATGCCACCACACGCGACCTGCTGGTTGACTTATGTTCGGATGCACAGAGGTGGAGTGGAATTTGAATAAACGTGTCCATTGTGATAAGGGATAGCGAATAAAACCGGCTACGCGTAGGTTTCAAGCCCAAGTGTATGAAGCATTATATTAGCATGCCAGCATCCATTATTCAGAGTACTTTACTCGATTTAAAACTTGAGTTGGCTAGTTGTGTTGCCTGTCAGTCACATTTGCGCAAATTCATTTTGATGGTGGCTTAAGAATAGGATGACCACGATGGATTTCTTCAGAAAATGCATTTCTTTGTCAGTAGGCAAACGTACAAAAATCAGCAGGGAATCAATACTTTTTTCCCTCACTGTAATGCACAAATGCCGAGTGGTTTTCTTGTGCACTTTTTGTGCATTCGAAACATATCTCTATTGCACTCTCGCACAAGTGAGCGGTTAAAAAAAATCGTACAACGGTAATGAGGCTGGGAGCAATGAAGTGGTTGAGACTGTATTGTATGCCCAGCTACCTCAATTCAATTATCGGCAGCGGTTACATCAGTGGCGTGTGCTATATGAAACCATCCTGGACATGTCCCCTTCACTGACCAGCATTATGAAGTATGGTCAAACAACTCCCATGGCCGATGCAGGATAGGAAGACGTTCATCAGTGAATTGACAAGAGAACTGGTATTGTGCAAACAGTTGATTTTATCTATACTGTGGCAAAAAAGCTGTCTTGAGAACTACTGCTCCTAAAACCTAAACCCCAATTCCTAGCCCTTGGTAAACCATACCATGAATTTTGGCTCGTTAAGACCCTCATACTACCCTTTATAGCATCTCTCAGTTAAAGTTTTAATGCATTAATTACAAAACACAAATTCCAAAAAATTAAATTTGTTGGTGGAACAACATTCGTGCCCATGTATTGTTCACAATTGTTTATGTTTAACATTCATTGCATTTGTTTTCCTTAACGTCGGCAATCAGAGCCGAAATCCTGTTGCTGAAGGCACATCCCATCGTGGCCTCTCATCTAAGTTCAGGTTATTATCTCACACATACATGGATGGATTCATAGCAATGTATATTTCTGCATTAGTTATCCAGGCAGTAGCATCAGTTGATGGGCAGTTTTCCTCAATGCTTCCATTGCATTTTCAGACGACTATGTGGGTCGGTGGTCTGGGGTTATTCTTTCCACAACTGCACACTGAGCTGTCTTTGCATTCCGTTTGTGAAAGTCGCGAGCGGATCTGTCGAGAGATGTGCAGATTTGATTTAACGTGAACCATCGTCTTAGAGGTGCAGTATATTAAATCCAGGAGGTACTTTACAAGATCCGCAATCGGGCGCTTGTTTGGGATATTGATGTCCATCCAAATCTGTTGCTGTTTCTCTGAGACACGAAAGGCCGAATTTACAAGGGCTCTGGTTGTAATCAAGAAGGATTGGCAAGATTTTCGATGGTGGTTGGTTAGATTTTGTAGATCTTCGTGGCTGTATTGGCTTGTGTGATCAAACACTTAAGATACATGAAACACATCCCTGTCGTAAGTGAAACCTGGGGTGCGATTCACGGGGTTTGTGCTGGGCCATTTGAGGTTGGATGGGCGTCCCATTTTGGAAGGACTAATGGAAAAACACGTGGATGAATGATCCACCTGGCTGAAATTAATTTAATTCTTGATTTTAAAGAGGTGATGCTTATTTCTACGGTATTGTGAACACTGATTTTTACAATATATCTAGCCAGGTACACGCTGGACAATGGGATTCTGACACCAGAGCAGAGAGCCTTCTATGAAGACAACGGTTTTATTGCCATCAAGGGTCTGGTGGCAGATGAAGATCTGGAGCGATACAGGTTGTTACAATTGAGTAAAAGAATACTTCTAAAACATACAACTTACTGGACATGTATAATGCCACAAATGTATTCGATTGTATAAAATAAACACGAAATAGAAGGCATCAATTAAAATTGATTCATATGCTCAAAATATTATTGATTCAATTAACGATTTGGATTCGTGAAACTATCGATCTTGTAAAGGGGTTGATTTAGGTGTGCAGGCTAATGGGACATTTATCCAGGGCCCTTCAGAGAGCTCCTCCCAAAAGGTGTGCTTTTCACTTCTTATGAAGAAAAGTAGTCCCGTTTATTAACACCGTTTTAATCAGAACAAAGTAACACTATTACCTTTATTTGCGTGCATTCTCATAGCGAGGTTTGGGAATTTTGTCCGTGAATTTGTCATGTAAATGTGTAAGGGGTGGATGAGAGGCAGGGGAATAATTCCAGCCCTAGTTTTATGCTTAATGAAGGCAAGTCAAATTTAAACGGCTGAGGCAGCGCACTCGTTCGCCACCCGATGAAGCCCAAAGCATTTTGAGCGAAACGTCGCGGTCTGTCAACGTTATATATTCTAGATTTAAAGTTTTCGTGACTGCAAGGATCCATACTCTTTGGTTCTATTCGGTAAAGTCACGTAAAAAACAAAAAATAAAAATTCACGACGTTTCGGCCACAACACATCATGATGACATGTCATGATGACAGCACGGTCCCTTCACCTGATGAAGGCCACTTGTGTTGTGGCCGAAACGTCGTGAATTTTTATTTTTTGTTGTTTTTTTAAGTGACTTTACCGAATAGAACCAAAGAGTTTCGACGTTATATTCGGGTATGAAAAGTCTTAAGATGCCGGTTAGCTTCGTTAGTCAGATTTTGATCAATACCTTGATACATGTATATAATATCGTAAATGCCATATGCATCATATACATTATAATATCAATCTCGTCAGGCGGTGGAGGGTTAATGACAAATGTGGCTCGAGGTTGTAACGGTATGTGTCGGCAGGGATCGTTTCGAGAGAATTTGCCGGCGGGAGGTTACCGTCCCAGGAATAATGATCATGCGAGACATAGCCATCGCCAAGTCCAAGATCGCCGCTCAAGATCAGAGTTCTGTCACTAAGGTTCAGGACTTTCAACAGGACCCCATCCTCTTTATGTACTGCCAGCTTCCTGAGGTGCGCCGACCCCTGGTTCATTTTCCCGTCTTTTAATCATTGCACTGGAAAGGAATTAGCATAGAGCTGTGGGCTAGTTGTAAAAAAAAAACATCGTGTGTCCCTTATTTGGGGGGTGGCCAAAGTGGCTCTGAGGTCAGAGCACAAAGCCGCCGTCACTAAAATTCAGGCAGCCGCCTGTGAGTTAGACGAGTCGGCAAGTGTAGCGATGGTTTAAATAAACTCCACTGAAGTTCGTACTTCACTTCATTTTGCTAAAATTGTGTGAGTTTCGGGTCACGTGATGAGTGTTCCTCTGCAGTGGGATTGGTGGGAACGCGCTGCCTCCTAGTGTGCATCAGAGGTAACTTGTAGCGATCTCAGAAGTAGTCATGTGAATATCTTGCTTCTGTTATCTAACACTGGTTGGTTACACTGCCATGCAAGAGTTATGAATGCATTCTTTGCTGCCCGACGTAACACCAATCGCGCAATTGGAATAAAATGCGGAGAAAAGACCAAAACATTTTAAGACGGAAAACGTTGCCTTGATTATGTCTAGATTTGAAGCCGATGGCAATTTGCCCGTTGATTGCACTTGCATTCGTAATGTCCAATTAGTACATTTTCATCGCACGTTGAACATTTAAATTAATGAAAAGCAGATGCTCCTCATACGAGGCAAAACATTGCATTGTAACTCGAGAGAGAGAACGGCTCGAGTGGTTTCATTCTTCACACCACTGGCACACAAAATCCCTGTGGTGCCATCACCCCACTCTTTGCCATGTTGCCTCTGCAGATCCTGCAGTACGTGGAGTGCTTCGCGGGCCCGGACATCACGGCCATTCACAGCATGCTCATCAACAAGCCGCCCGACACTGGTAGCTTAACCCCCTCGTCTTTAATTCCCTCTCTAAACATTGAAAAATAATGTTTTGTTGGTGCTCGCCTACATCCACTAAGTGAAGTTACAAATTGCCATCGTGATTTGATTAAAAAAAAAACTTTACTTACCATTGTGTGAGTAAAGACCTTCATACATGTTCAACTTCATGCAAAGTTGAATGGATAACAAGCGTGACATCTTCAACAGGCCGGTGGCGGATGTCCGATGAGCTCAACAGAGTAAGCCAGGTTGTATACTCATTGGAGTCGTGCAAGGCTGACTTGTGACACGCACACACAACAAAAGTGTGTTGCAGTAATCCAGCCGTGTTGAAACAATTCTGCATGTCAGCATATTGGCTGATCCCGTACCCCAAAAAAGGTCAGATGTGTGAGAGCGCGAGTGTTTTTTTTTTCGGTAAAGTCACGTAGGTAAAATAAAATAAAACAATTAAATCACGACGTTTCGGAGGCAACACAAGCTTCCGTCTTTCGTCTTGCGTTGCCTCCGAAACGTCGTGATTTAATTGTTTTCTTTTATTTTATTTTACCTACGTGACTTTACCGAAAAAAAAAACAAAGAGTATGAATCCTTGCAGTCACGAAAGCTTCAAATCTAGAATTCACGTATCTCGTTTGACGTGTCGAATGAAGTTGAGGTTTTTTGTCGAGCGTAACGCTGAGTATCTTGACCTTGTCGGCGAGCTGAACAGGGGAGATGGCGATGACCATTGGTTGTGCATTTGGTCGATCCTTTTACACTTGTGTAAGGTTTACCAATTCACATTCTATTTACGCAGACGATACATTTGATAGAATCAGTCCTTGCACGAAGGATTTGACGCGTGTATCGTGAGCCTCAGAATCTATTTTTGTCCAAGACTCGATGCATCCTCTGCATGCGTAGTTTTTCTAAAACTTAAGTCAAAAGTGAAAGTATTGTAATTTAACATGTAGAAAATTTTGCTTGGTCGGAAAAACATGCTTCGATTGATCTGATAGGATTTAAGTAGGCATATCACGATGCAATGATTAATTAAGATAGACATTGGAGCAGGGTACACCAATGGATACTGTTGCCCTGTTCTCTGCTGACAAGGTAGCGCCACTTCAGCCTATTTACTGAATGGTGGCCAACCATCCAAGCAACTATCCAGGCTCGATAACTGCTTGGGTTCCGAAATCTGACAATAACGGGATAAATTATTGGTAAATTGGCGTTGTAGAAATGTTTGGGCGATTTGATTAATGGGTGATTGTCAGATAATTGTTACACACCTAATAATGAATGTTGGTTCCAGACGCTATATTGGGTTGTTTGGCCAATTGCACTCATTAGTATTTTGCTGAATGTGGGACAATCACAGAACCTTTAGAAAACCGACCAGAAATGTGGTGCAGCAGAAGCCTTGAAAGCGAGTGCAGGCGAGATATCCGTGCTATCCTATATCAGCGCCAGGGTGGCGAGACGTTAACTACCTTCGCCTGGTATGCAGGTCTTGGATTCGATCCCGACCCTGACGCCTGTATATTTGGCGTTTGACTGTTCACTCCGTTGTCGCGTGGATTTTTCTGCAGGTCCTCCGGTTTTTTCCTCCACATTTAGAAACATGCGTTTACAGTATTTGCCTGCTATACATTTCGACATAAGCCACTTCTTTGAGATATAATTTGTGACCAGATCGCTTTTGAAACAATTGAGTTCTAAAATTGTAAATGTTGTGGATCCACTCTTCAACGCACCGGTGTGCTAAAGTAGTGAAATGTTTATTTTGTCAACGTGACACATTTTTTTTTACTGATTGGCCGTGTCGGGTGGTGGAGGGTTGCGACACATTTATAGATAACGCGATCTAACCCAAAAAAACCTTTATTATGAATAATACTGGTCGCGAAACACTGCGTTGAATATGGTATTGTATCAGAACCGTGCTAACACAAGTTTGCTTACACCCATCCAGCTTACACCAGATACACGCCGCCTCGTGTCCTCCACCTTGAGGTCGGTCTCTCCGTGTCGCTGCAGGCCTGAAGACCTCGCGCCATCCGCTGCACCAGGATCTGCACTTCTTCCCGTTCGAGCCTGCGGACCGCATCGTGTGCGCCTGGACCGCCATGCAGCACATCGACCGAGAGAACGGCACCCTGGTGGTCCTCCCCGGCACGCACAAGGGAGACCTCAAGCCTCACGCGTACCCAGAGTGGGAGGTGAGAGAGGTTGCTGCGTCCGCTCTTTGGGAGCAATTTAATTTCCCCAGAAAGCAAACGGTTGACTGCTTTATTGTCCATTGATAACAATCAAATGTCATCAGCCACGATGTCAGCTGCTGTATGAAGGCACCCCCGACCCGTTGCCGTCTCTCACGGCCATCGGCTGCTGTACACGAGCTTGACTTCCGTCGCTCAATCTTTGCGGTGAAAGAGGTCACAAATAGACGATCTCTCCAAAGTGAGGGACAAATCCGTGTTAACACAAACCCGGCAATGTCCGTGCGTGCGTGCGCAGGGAGGTGTGAACAAGCTGTATCATGCGGTGCGTGACTTTGATCCAGCGACCCCACGCTTGCACCTGACGATGGAAAAGGGCGACACCGTGTTCTTTCACCCTTTGCTTATCCATGGCTCCGGAATGAATCGCACCGACGGTTTCCGCAAGGTGCGTCCGCCTTTGCTTATGGGTGTGTGCGTACGCGATGATCGGCTGCCGATAGTTTGTCAGCTCCGCAGCTGTAATTCGAGCAATAATTTTTTTGTTTCACAGCCCTGTGTTAATCCACGTAAATTAGTGTTTGTGAGAATCGCAATAATTTCCACTGGGTCGGGGTAATGCCGAAGCAAATATTTAGGTGCCATGAGGAGTCACTTTTTTTTTTACAAACCACATTTATCAATTCAAGAGACACCGGCACATAGTGCCCTCCTCAAAAGTCTGCAACATGTTAGTGGCCACTGAGAGATATATTGGCATAGGTAACTTCATTGGACGGCGACAAACTATCAAAAACGTTTCTCAGAGACCTGATTTCTAATTTGCCTGCACTAACATTTGTTGATGGCTTGGTGTCTGCCTTCAGGCCATCTCCTGTCACTTTGTGAGCGGCCAATGTCATTACATTGATGTGAAGGGCACAAGTCGGGAGAACACCGAGGAGGAGATCATTGGAATGTATCGCCATAACTTTGACAAAGATGCTAAGCCCTCACTCATTGTAAGTTTCCATTTATGCTTGTATTTTTCTGTATTGCTGATGCTTCTTCCTGATGATAAATATGGATTTATAGAGAATCTAAATGCAAAAGTAGCTCAATATGCTGCACAGAAACAGTTGGCATGCATTTTTTTGAATAGGCAGTCAGATATAGGCGAAAGAAAGGTCTTTGAATCTGGAATTGAATAGTAGCAGGAAGTTGACAGTATGGATGGCTAGGGGAAGGCAGTTTGAGACTGTTTGGCTCATCAGGTGACGTTATCTTCCTTTCCAGGTATGCAGATCGGGGGTTCGATCCCGATACCTGTTTGTATATATGTCGTCGGATGGATTTTTCTCCGGGTCCTCCGATTTTCCCCTCCATATTTAGAAACATGCATTTCAATTTAGATGATTTGGCTGATATAAATGTCATTTGTGGCCAAGTAGCTACTGAAAAATAATCTAAAAGCTCAGTGGGCTTTACCTGGTAAAATAAAAAGTTAAGTTTAACTTTTTGTGATCTGATTACCTTTCCTATACTTTTCACTCCTATCGTGTTTTTGTATTGATTGTTGTAACTTTCTGACCTGCCCCGACTGGACATCTGTGAAAAAGAGGTTTATAGCTCGTTGGATTCCTCCAGTATAAAGATTCTGATTCTGATATGACCTTTATAAGCCAGGTATGATGCTAGAGATCGGGTGTTTTATTTTAAAAGAGAAACCTGGGTGAATATCAGCCACCACAATCTGTTGTGAACTCTTTAAAGGGTACCAAAAAGGTCAAAAACGAATCCATAGTTCATATTACGATGCATAAGATGTTTAGAGATTATGTAAATTAAAATTGTTATTGTGCATGCTCATCAAGTTTTGATGCAGTGATAAAACGAACGTGTGACCGTCCGTAGTAAGTGCAACTGCCTATGGTGTGGCACTTGTTTCACAGGACGTGTGGCACTGGAAGGCAAGGTTGGTAAAGGGGAGGACACTGCAACTGTGACGCTACGAGCAGCCCCTTCGTGCGTTGGCTTCTTTTTTTCAACGGTTTCACTTCACTTGATTCCTGTTTGTCTGGGTCAAATCTTGTAAGCAAAATTTCGTCCACTTCTCGTTGTCCAATCAATTTCACATTTTACACACGTACTCGGATCCGGTGACAATGCATGCCTGTATCAAAATCGGCATCAATTAATCAATTAATTCGCTACTTTAAAGCTATTTAAATTTTGTATGGACACCTTATTACGTATATTTGTGAAGGTCAAAAACGCCGCGGTCCCTAAACTGTGAAATCGGCTCGCACAAAAAGCAGGCGCCACTGATGTACTTCTCGACCGTGAGTTAAACGAAGTTGTTAATAAAACCGTTGTTTTGTTTAGTTTTTTTTACCTTACCTTTAATCCATACCACTATCCCACAGCCCAGCAAAGCAGCCAAGGTCATTGCCCACATTTATGAACATCTTGTGGTTTATACACATGCCGATATCTTCCTTCCTTGGCAGCTTAATATATTCGTCAAAATTCGGGGATGGAGGTTAATTCACTAATTGTTTCTTGCCACTGTGGTGCATGTGTGTGAACTAGTGTGAACATGCTACACCTTATATCAGGGGTGGGAATCCTATGGCTCTCGTGCTGTATCTAGCATCCAGCCATGAGCCCTACTGCTTTGAGTCATCATGCAAACAAGAAGAATCCTGCACTGAAAGTCTTTTGACACTTACTGGGTACTAAAAGGGGCATACAATCGGACCTGGCAATTTGCGTTTCTAACTGTAGTGCACTCGGTCACCTGTTGTCTCCAAATTAGTTATGAGAATGCATTCAGTCCGAGCATGATCGAGAGTTTCTATATCAACTAATGAGCCGTCTGCCTATGGTATTTGAAAGTCTTATTCAGCTTCCACGAATTAAAATGTTCCCCACCCATGCATGAGAAACGTGATGGGGGGGGGCATGTGTGCCCCCATCATATAGCTTTGTACACTTTTCCTTGATGGGGATTGCATGTTAGCCACTGATGTGACCCAATTGCATACGACACGAATACAAAAAATATTCTGACATGAACAATTCCGTATACATGAGCATAAATAGTTTAAATCGACAAATAAATGCACTGTTACATCTCTAGTAGCTATGATTACACTTTGATAGATTTTAATTGTCCAAACAATGCCTGCCTAATCACCATATGACAGCTGAAATCATAAGCACATTTAAGCATGTTATTTTGAATGCATATCACCGTAAGCTGCAACTGAAGTGATTCAACTGAATTGATTTCTTTTTGACATTGTGAATGATGTGAACCTATTGCATAAAACATTAATGGAAATACATTCGACTTATTGTATGTTGTGAGCTGAAATATAAATGGACAATTGCTGAATGGATGCATATTTACCTCCATGCTTCGTCATTATTACACTAACGTTTTATCATCATCCTTGTTCAATCCACGAGTGGATACAAGGCCTCCCTAAGTTTCAAGTTTATTTTGGATAACCAGGTGAGAACTAGAAGTCTCAATCTTGATTTGAAGCTTTCGTGACTGCAGGAATCCATACTCTTTGGTTCTTTCGGTAAAGTCACGTAGTTAGAAAAATATAAAAAAAACAAATCACGACGTTTCGAAAGCAACACAAGCGGTCGTCATCAGGCAAAGGAGTCAGCCTCTAAAGGCAAACTGTTTAGAAAGGTTTGGGGATGGGGGTCGTAGCCAAAGTGTATCAACAGCACCAGCAGCATAGGCGGTGTACGAGTGCCAATGTAGCAACAATGCCAATGCAGCAACAATGCCAATGCAGCAACAATGCCAATGCAGTGGGCGAGAGAGCTGCCGTGGCAAGAGGTTATATAGGTAAGAAAGGGGGGGAGGAGCAAGGGGAGAGATGGGGGGGCTGCGTGAGCGCTCGGGGGAGAGAGGACGTGACGCTGGGGGGGGGGGGGGGAGTGGGCGGGGCTGGAATTGGGAGGCTGGGAACGTTGGGGATGCGGGGGGGGGAATTAACTCAGAAAAATAGACTTCTACCCGGCAGATAAATAGTTAAGGTTTTACCTGGTTAATAACATCCTTCCAATGATTGCTCAATTTGTATCCATCTTCTCAGTTGCAGTTATGTCTATGTTTATATATCTGGATGGCTTCATTAACAAACCTTTGATAGTAGTCCGAAGGTTCGCAGAGTACCATGGTCTCGGAAAAAACAATATCATGAGAGCCCACAGCGTTATAACAATGGTCAGCTACGGCAGAGGTATTGGTTCTGCCGTGTTTCAGATCTGCCTTGTGTTCGCGAACACGGTCCGAGACATGTCGTTTCGTTTCCTCAACGTAACTGCTACCGCAGGTACAACTCAGTTTGTAGACTCCAGGATATTGCATGTCAGGAATGACATCCTTCACCGATGGGATTAGAACAGAATAGTCTCATTAGCAAGTTTGGCCTGGGTCACCACCAAAGACAAAAGCAATCACTAAAAAACCCAAGTACAATGGAAACTACAAATAAAGAAAAAAAAAAAATTGGAGCAAAAGCAAATACGTTGGTAATGAAATTGAAAACTGTGCAAAAAATACAAATCAATATTAAATAATGTGCCTTGCATGTCTTGTTATGAAAGTTCGCTGAAAGTTATTTTAGGAAAACCATAAACTCCCAGCTGTCCCTGTGAAAGATGTTGCCATCCCGACCTGAAATGTAGCTGAGAAATTCGTGAGATCGACTCCGTGTCAGTCACTGCGCTCCGGTCTGATCCGGAAACTCTTTCACGAAACTTACAGATGCGGAATTAAAACGCAACTGAACACATTTGATCGTGAGCTTAGAAAAAACACTACATCACCCAGATCAGGAGCACTCTAAACACCACTCTTTCACATCAAAATGAGATGTTGAAAATAAGGAGACAAGAGAATTGATTGGATTGCATTTTCTTTCCAGAAATAAAAATACACTGAAAGCAGTTCTTAACATCGCATGAAGCACATCATTCCACACATTTTGCATATCACCCTTAAAACCAAACCCCAACAAAAAAAATTAACATTTTAGGACAAAAATCATAAATGAGCGTTCATTAAACATGGACGCCCATCTATGATTGGCAATAAATCCTTATTTGGCTTGAGGCATAAACCATGAGCTAAATGTTGAGATGCCTCACAGATGCAACAACTCGTTCTTAGATTTTTTTTTTTTACTATATACACAGTGGATGCTTGAGAGCACTAGACTGTTGCTGTACCATTCCTACGAGTGAAGAGAAAGAGAGAATATGCTACTGCTGTCAGTGCAAAAGGAAATGCTTTCTGTTGATAGTCGTGCTACAAAAATGATTTGTACTGATGACTTTTTGCAGCGTTCATAAAGAAAACACGTGAACCTATTCACTGTGCATGATACTATGCATATTAAATAAAAATGTCTTTACTCGTTAAAAAAAAGGCACAATTAACTTTAGTTTTATAGACCTGCAACAGTAAAGTCACTTTGATCAGTGCATATGCATTATTAAAGATGTTATTGTCAGGGACATTTAGTTTTTGAAACACCTGCACATTCTTATAACATGGACATTTCAGAAAAAAAAATGCATGGTCTTCCCTCCATTTGGGAGACCTGGAGCACAAGACGAAACAAATTCAGCTTGCGAGGCCACAGCATATTTTTTTTGTTTTAAATGAGCAAACGTTAAGACTGAAAAGGACCTGTGCAACATTTCACTGTATCGTCCGTAATATATTTCCTTGCAAAGTTAATTGACACATGCCCTGCAAAAATGTATGCCTACCAAATCCTGCGAATGAATGGTATATAAGTGTTTCAACACACCAGTTTGGATAAGCTTAAGGAACAGTTCTACACTTCGTGAACGCAAAAAGGACGTTATACGTTTGAACGTATCGTTATTGGCTTCACGTCACCAAGAACTGTAATGTTGGGCAAACTATAAGCCATTCGGTTTCAATCTGATTGCCACACATCATCCAAAACAACAACAAATAAATGAAAGCGTGAACATGATAATCCACAATCTGTGTTCAACGGGGAAAAGTGACCCCTGAAAAGACACGGGGAGGCTTTAACAAATTAATGAGGCATTGCGGAAGTGAACTAAAGCAGTAGCAAAAAAGGCAGTCAGAACAATAGTAAATCCAATCGATGCAACGTTGCTTTGCTTGGAAGAGGATAGGGTGCATCATTATTCCTGAGGAAGGACCACATTTCTGGTTGACTTTATCTTCTCCAGCCGCTTTGTAAGCTGACTATTGGTGATCTCCAGCTCTTCCACACGGTCCTGTGCTGACCTCAGCTGCAAAGAAAACAGTGGCAAGTATAAGCACAGATGGTGTGCCGATAACACACAATCATGTGCAAATGCTCATCCCCCCCCCACCAATCCCTATCACCACTATGAACACCACTAACACCACCACAGCCATCCTCCTCCAAACAGCAATATCTTCTTATCTGTACATTTCCCTTACCTCTCTTTGCAGTTTACGCTTTTCTGCTTTAAGCTCATCTTCAACTTTCTCTGCATTCTCCGAAGCAGTTTTGTAACGTGCAACTTGACCTTCCAGACGAGCTATCTGTAAACACAGATGCGCATGTGTGCACGTCTCTGTTTAAAATCTGGTGTTTGGCATTTGAGTTACACAAAAATCAAAACAAAAAAAACACTTCAACTTGAAAAGATGGGCCAAAACAATGGGAAAGCTTACACTTTGTTCCAATGCTGTGATGTCCTGTTCCGCTTTTGAAAGCTTAAACTTGTGCTCACTGAGTTGTCTAGTTACGTCTCCTGAAGGAAAACAAAGACAACACGCACCATGCAGTCACAGAATTAAACCTAATGCAATACACACTCCTCTATAATGCCACCAAAAAGGCCTAAGTTTATTAGATTCCCATTACATGTGTAAATAAAATATCCAGAGCTGGATGAGGGCCTCCTCACGTCTGCACTTCACTGTGCTGAATATTGTGGGTTGGTGAAGTCAGCACAGACAAGGAACCATAGATCGACAGCACAACAATCGATGCTGCTGCACTGCATCTACTGCCCACTACACCCCACAAGCCCAATGACAACCTGTTCGTGCATGGTCCATTACCCATCCAAGCACTATCCAGGCTTAATCGCACTGAACTTCTGGGATGTGAGAACAAGTGCATTCAGGGTGACTTGATCATAGATAACATACTGGCAGTATAAAATGTAGTTACTTATTAAATGCTTTATAAATGCTGGATGCCAAAAGAATTGTAGCTCGTTTTAACAAATGCTAAGATCAGCATGGGTCATTTTAAAATGTTTTTGTGTGATGTGAAAATTTGGTTCATTCCACAGGCACAAAATAAACTTATCTTGCAAATGATGTCTGGAGCATTAACATTTACTATTAACCCTTTCCCGTTGAGATGTCTGCAAGCTATAGGGTGGGTAATGTTCACCACTGAATCTTGGAATGCGCAAGCGGTTAGGATTCATTTTATTTGGAGAGGCATAGCGCCATTGTTTTTAAAGACATTGTACTCACTGCAGAGAACTGTAGGGACACAACCACACCCCATGGTATCTGGCACCAAACTGTGTTACATGCCTTCCCACATGGCCTTGTGGGAGCCTCGGTACCGATAAAGTTATTTTAGTTTTTCTTCCGATGACGTACGCATACGTACATAAGGATTTCCCATTGCTATGACATACGTATACGTACGTCATCGGAATGGGAAAGCCTTATGTAAACAGCATGCAGTGGTAACGTTCTCATTACCAAGTGGCTGCATAGGCTTGGTAAAAAGTGAGCTGTATTAAAATACAAATATGTTAAACAAGAAATGTGTTTGTTAAGTAATACCGTACTTTTGAACGTGAAGCCATGACGGAGTATGTGCTTACTTTGTGTCTCGATACCATCCATGCCGTTTTCTGTGGGGTCGCTATCCGATTTTCCCGATTTCTGTTTGGTTTCTTCCAGCTGAATCTTCAGGCTCTTCACCTGACCCACAGGAAATATTCACATATAACCACAATTGAAAGAAATCACTCCATTTACCAAAAAAGTACACAAAAAACCAAATGAAATGACATCTGAAGCAATGCGATATTAAGTAGAGCAACATCTCAGACTCGGAAATTGGAGTTAAATTCCCGATCACAGCTAACATCAATGGTGTATAGTATTTAGATTTGTTCTGGGTCTCCACTTCATCAACGCGTACCGACCAGTGTGGTGAAGTATGGTCAAATGACATCTACTAGTGATACCGTGTGGGAAGGTCTTCGTGCAGCAGTGGATGGATAGGGGATGCAAGTTATTAATTTAACTTCACATCTTCAGTGTGTGTAGCCTGGGAATAGCAATCACCTGCTCTACAAGGGATTCC